TATCAAACTAATAAATTCATCTTCTTCAATTGTTGACATTTCTGACGTTTTTGGAAATAAGTTTTGAAATCTTTTAATGTTTTCTGATGTTCAATAAATCTTGATAGTAGTAGCTAGTATTATGTAGTGTAGAATAAACATTAAACACTAAACAGTAAGTCAGTAACTATAAAAATACAAAAAATAAATAAGTAATAAATACTAAAACTGTTAAATACGCAATAACTGAATTATTATTTTATTAGAATAAATAAAATAAAAATGTTTTCAGAGTTAAAGCTATGCGTAATTTATTATAAATATTATTTAATGTATTTTATGCGTAATCGTATAAAAATAATGCAGTATTGTTTAATATGCTTATCTTTACAACAAATTTATCCATAGTTAAATCTTAAATGATAGTTGATACGCTTATAGTGTAAGTTGCACTGTATGATACTAACTGTAACTAACTGTACGATCACTGTGTAACGATACTAAACTTTCAAACAATCAAATGAAATATTATGATTTATGACGGTCGACAGATCGTAATATCATATTATCGTATCGACCGGCGTCGTTGCGTTTTGGACGTCGTTATCGCTGTTTTTGTCGATTTTATAATTGGTTATTATTTCACTAATAGTTATTGAGGCCTAGCTATGATAAAATTGTTATCGACTATAATTTTGTCGATTTGTCGTGCTATATAATTTATTATTCGTAGTTCGTACCGTCGGCAGTTTGCCGAAAGTCTCTTATCGCAACAATTTTCCCAAAACAAAAGACTATCAATATAATAAAAAGATTTTTGTTTGGGGGGTTGGAAACCCCTTACACCCCCCCCCCGCCCCGTAACTACACCACTGGTGTTGGGTAGTAACGTAATGAAAATAACGCGTTACGCCGTTACGTAATTTCATTAGAATTATTTCCAAGTAACGAAAATGTAATGGAAATTACTTTTGAAAAGTAATTTCTATAGAATAAAGCGTTACAGTTTCAAATTATTAAGTACCTACCAGCTATTGCGAATCGAAAAAAAATATATGTATAATGCGGATATTATTATGTTTACCAATCTAATATGTATATATATTTAATTTTAACTTGGCACAATTCAGTTTTCAATGATTTTGACATTTGAAATGTTTAATTTCAGTAACTGCACCGTAAATCACGAGAACAGTTAATTAAATTTATTATTTAATTTGATTAATTTCAATGGGTTTCGTATGAATATAGCTTGTGTGGAAGACTACATTTTATATGATCCTATTAACTATGTACAGGTTTTATAAAGAATTTGCTTCTTCAATTTGCCTGCAGTCTGCAGAAAATATTGCCAAGAAATTTAAAAAAAATTTATTTTTGTAACGAGAAAGTAATGAGTTACTTTTCTATTTGAAAAGTAAAGTAATTTCATTACAATTTTATTTGAGTTACGAATAAAGTAACTTAATTACTTTTTAAAAGTAACTTACCCAACACTGTAGATAGGTATTTATAATTTATATAATTTATTAATTATTTATAATTAATTATATATGCTTATTATGAAGACCCACACAATCACAATAAATAATATGTATAGTACGTATACTCCTATGCTCCGGCAGTCCGGTCCACGAGAGTCCATACGTAAACCGCGCATCGATATAGTAATACTCGACGTTTGTTTTCTCCCACCATGATGTCATTCCCACTATTCGGTAACATGCAGATGCGCAGAGACGGACGCGTTTGGACATATGGACTCTCATGGGCCGGAGTATAGTCACCTATATAATTTTCTATTTTGTATACTTTAATAGGTATAATATATTAATTTAATATTTATGTTTATAATCGTTAACAATACTCAAATAGTATATATACCTAGGTGGTTAGGTACCTTAGATATCTACTTAAAACGGCATTTAAAATCAGTCATCAAACTCTTTGAGAAGATTAAATTTAAAGCTTAGGCCTTGGTAGTGGTAGATGATCCAACATAATATTATCCAAGAAAAACTCATCATCGGAATCCGATTTTATTATTTTCAAACTACGTACATCAGTGGTCGGCAACCGGCGGCCCGCGAGTCTATTAAATACGGCCCGCTTTAAATTCTATAACAACGAAATTTAATTGAATATTATATCAAAAAAAATCATATTGTATAAATATAGTTGAACGTTTCTATCAGTCATATTTTATAATAGTGGATATACCTTGACACTTTGACAGTTACCGATAAGATAGAGTAGATACGACGAGTGTATTTGGGTTATAATCTTAATTTTCGATTGTGCTCAGTGCTCACTGCTCAGTAACATTGCGTTTTTCATACGGGTATGTGCGGTTTGCGTCGTGAGTAATTTTTATAACATTTTAATTTATATTTTATGTCTTATATTAGTAATCGTTTATTTGGCTGTTAATTTAAATTTTAAACTAGTTAAAATGAATGTCAGTAAAAAAAGAAAAATAGATTCTGAATGTCGTGTATTCCAACATAAATGGATCAATCAATACTTTGTTATTGAAAATAAAGGAAAAGTCATGTGCCTTGTTTGTCGTGAATTAATTTCTGTATTGAAAGAATACAATATTAAACGGCATTATGAATCCAAGCATAAAGTTAAATATGACTCCTTATACGGACAGTTAAGAGAAATTGAAGTTAATAAACTACAAAAAGCTCTAACCGGAGAACAAACGATCTTTTCAAAAATAACTACTCAAAATAAAGCCATAATTTCTGCTAGTGTGAATGTAGCTATGTTAATTGCGAAAGAGGGAAAACCATTTACAGACGCAGAATTTGTCAAAAAATGTGTACTAAGCATGGCCGGTAATATTTGTCCAGATATTGTACATAAGTTTGAAGAAGTCCCCTTATCTGCTCGTACAATAACAAGACGTATTGAAGATGTTGGTGACAATTTATTAAATCAACTGATAAAAAAAACGAAAACATTTCAATATTTTTCGTTAGCACTTGATGAAAGTACAGATATCGTTGACTCTGCACAGTTAATTGTATTCATTCGAGGAATTAATGATAAGTTTGAAATAACTTATTATTTTTGTCTGGCCCGCGAACTCTTTTTAATTTATGAATGTGGCCCGGGAGTCTAAAAAGGTTGCCGACCACTGACGTACATGATAATATTATATTATTATACCTACGACCTAACTATTGTTTTTTTTTTATTATTATTATTGATCAAAAATAAACATTGGCAACAAAGGTAGGTAATTAGTTAGCAGTTACTAGTTACCTATTAGGTACTGCATGTAGAGTAGGTACCTACCTATATAGATTTTAAGATACCTATTACAAATTAGTAGGTATTTAATACTCCTAAAAGCCTATAGCTATATAGGTATATACATATTATAGCTATATTACAAGTTTTGAAATGTTACTTTTAACTACCTATTGAAATATACCTAAAACCAGTGTCATCGCGAAGGCAGTTTATTAGTCCCGGGACGCAAGTCAGTGGGCGAGAGAGTGTGGGTATTGATTATTGGATATCGTCATATCGAATATAATAAATGGTGTGTAGGGATATAATAGTGGAATTTAGATGAGTTGGAGAGTACTTAGGTTTTCAAACTTAAACGCTTAAATGTGATGGGTAGATGGGTCTCATGAAGTAAAATATCTAGCTCCGTCACTGACGTCTAATTATATCGTTGTCTTTTATCGTGCCGCAGCAGCCGATGCGCAACGTTACGTCATCTCCTCTCGCTGACCGTCCGATAAGAGCTGATAACGCGCAAACAAACGCGAAATTTCAGCGCAAGAGCAGCTGCTGTGGTCAAGGCAAATCCGCACGCGCACCGCATACCGCGGCTAACAAAGTACATTAGTACACACGCACAGTAGCGGTTCGTCGTCGTAGTCGACGCGTAGACAATAATAATAATAATAATATTATATTATATACAAATAAAATTCATCATTGGAACGGGGCCGACGCCGCCGCCGGCGGTAGTGAGAAGAACTACTACTAAGAAACATATTATTAAGTAGAATATTTTATGGCTGGGTTCTCCTGTACTCGTTAACGCAGCCGCGGCAACTACTCGACTCGCATTTTCATTTTTTTTTTTGTTTTTACCAGACATTTTCTAATATTGATAAGCTACTTGACTGTTACCCACTATCTACATTCTATACCGTTACCGTCATTGTCGTTTATACTCGAAATTAATAATAATAATAGTCTATACTCTATAGTAATCATTATTCATTAATCCTCCGTAGTCTTCACACTTCAGCTTTCACTCGCCGCGTGATAGTCCGTCGCCGAAATCGCACAAGCGCCAACGATCAGCATTTTTCGCCGGACTAGACGGCACAGTGGCAGACGAACAGTGCCCAACACTCAACCACCGCCGCTGCGAGACGGACACAGACGACTAGTAAATTATGATCACCTCTACTCGCTTATCATCGCGATTCATGGCAATATTACAATAATAGTTAACTATATATTAGTAGGTAACGATAAATATTTTCACTACACACGTAGTACCTATAACCCGTAGCGGCCAGTGTCAGTTTTCCACCTCCACCCACACGATCACTGGTGTGTGTGTGTGTGTGTAGTGATTGTGATTTGCGAGAAACAGTGTTTGTGTGCGTGAGTGCGCTTTATCGTTACTTTACGTCCTAGTTCCGATAACGTTTAATTGAATTTTCGGTGTGTTTTTCGTCTGCTTGAGACCAGTCCAGAGGCTGCCACCTTCTCACTGCCGCCGTTGAAGTGCGTCGCCAACTGCGAGTCCAGTGCGAGGTGCGAACAGAGTCTTTTCATTCGCTTTTTCCCCTGTCTTGCCCAAGTCAATCTTTGGGTTTACCATCCATCCGTCCGTTGACATGATTTTCATTGCTGCGGTCGCCCGGAAATGAGTGTGAGCTCGATCAGTTCTACAATAGCCGCCTGACAAACAACATCAACAGTCTTATTGTAGACTCTCACTGCTCCACTTCAATGCCCACCACATCAAACGCAGAATGATGAACGGAGTACCAAAGAAACGCACCAACTTGCGCATCAAAGCTTTCCCGGTGAGTCCATCAACATTATCGTCAAGTATTCCCTGTTACTCAGATAGTATTATTGCTGGTCATGACACACATACCCATGTTGGTTGTCCCATATTTAATTTTTATAGTATCTACCCATCCACTTAATATCCTTGCAACTGAATTTATTCTGAACATTTTCACTATTCATTTTTATATAGCTATCTATCTATTTTTACACGAAGTAGGCATTTGCGTATAGTTGTCCTCACTATCCTTATATACCTAAGATTCTAGACTCAATAAAATACCTATAGTCAGGTTTCAAAAAACCCCTACCCGGTTGGGTTTAAATGGATTTTAATGGGTAATACCTAATGCGCTTTAATAGGTTTTAATAATTTTCAAATGAATGATGATTCCTGACACTTTTTTTTATCAAAGCAGTTTTCTAAACATTAAACTTTAAAACATATACCTATTACTTATTTAACATTAAATATAACTTATTACCTATAAGTTATAACTATTATATTTAAGAAACTTATAAAGAAATATAAAAAGTTTTGGTGTGCCTACCTATATAAAATTATACAGTTAATTTGTTTATTACTATTCACCAGTAAACATTAAAAAGTGCTTATAATAAGTTGTTTTATTATTATTACTTAATTTTTATTGTTCATTGTTATAAGTTTAAAACTTTAAAATTACCTAATTATAATCAAGGAAAGTAAAATTATAATATTTAATGTTTTTGCTTACATATTTTTGTTTTTATTGTTGTTTGTCAGTTACATTAGTGTACACTTTTTTCACACTGACCCAAGAGCAGGTATAGCCGGTGTAGGTGTTGATCGTTATCATTTCTTATTCTTATCAGCGAATATATGTCAATTGTCATGAGCGAATAGTTGGTTCTGTAATTCTGTAGACTGTTGTAGTTCTATTTCTATTTTCAATTTAATGTTTTAAGTAGTTTCTTTTTTTTGTAATACAACTATACAAGGTTCCATTAATCATGAAAATACTTAACGGTAGAATATGTCGTACAGGAAAAGGTGAAATCGTTTTAGATGACGATGGTCTCGTCATTTGCAAATGCGATGATAAATATGAATCGCGGAAAAAAAAGTCCCAATAAAAATGAATGAAAATATATCAAAATTGAAGTGTAAATATGTTAAAATTGTATTGAAAAATACATTAAAGTTACATAAAAAATCATATGATATCATAAAAAATGTTAATTACTTACTTAAATCACATATTAAAAAATAATAAAATTTAATTTAATAGGTACAAGTCTAAAATAATAAAATGAAATACAATAGTCAATAATAAATACAATTATAGTACAAATATAATTTATTATAATAATAACGCTATACAAATGTAATATTATAATTAGGTAGGTACACCTCTTGACCTCTTTTTTATTTTATGATTTACGCCTGTTAAAAATGCCTGTTTATAGGTATACATATAACCTATTATTATATCAAAAAACTTTTGTTTTTATGAAATGTTTCTAATCAAAGTTCAAGTTATAAGTATCTAGTTATTTCGAATATATTTACTAATCTAGTATATTTGAAAAACGATCGAGAATGAATTCCTATTATAACAAACTAACATTTTTTAAAAATTACTTCTGCTAATTACCTTTCAATTAATGATTAATAATTTATTATATGAAAATGTTTATATTTATCTATACAATTTGATATATTCCATATTATATTACACTTAAACTAAATAGTAAATTACTAAATTAGCCATTAGGTATAGCAAAAGCCAAAAATATGATCTTCATTAAGGAACTTGAAAATTAATTATAATATATATTATAATATAAAATATAATATACACTATATAGGTATGTAAGCTCCCTTTTTTTTTATAATATAATATTATTTTTTATGTAATTTTAATGTATTTTTCAATACAATTTTTTGTTAATAATAATACCTACAAAATAAGTAATTATTTATTAATTTAATTAATTGATCAATTATTATACTATCAATAGAAATAAATTATTATCAGTTATTAAAATTGATAAAAATTATCAGCTGATAACAAAAACACTGCTACACCAAAAACACAGTGTACACTTTTTTTTCAAAACGAACCAACCTATTATTACCTTATTAATTACATCTATGTAAAAATCATTGTTTTGTTTATATTAGAAATATAGGTACTAATTAGTAATGACTATAAGTACACAAATAAAAACCGAGATAAAAACCATAACAACTTAATTTTTTTCTTTCTGTTAGATAATTGCAATCATCATACCTTCAAATATATTCTAATTTATAAATAAAATACCATCCTCATAGTCCATTTAAATTTATTTTAAATTCTAATGTAGGTGTTAGCCAGGAAACAATACAATCTATATTCATTTAAATTAAGGTAAATAATAATATAGGTACCTACCTACAGTTTTTTTTTTTTAAATAAACATCTTTAAAATATGCTCTTATAATTATTATGTAGGTAAGTACTTTTTACCAATTTTATTATTTGAATTTTCTGTATAAACGGTACAGATAAAATGTATATTGACAATATTACCCTAGCATTCACCTAACACAATTAAATTAAATAAACAAAGCCTTAAAATGAATCAACATAGACTAAAGGCTGTCTTCATACAACACAAGATTTGTATTTGCCACTCATGACTCATGTTAAGTTTTAATTGTATATTATTATTGGGTACAAGATTACTGATTAAGTACCTACACTTTTTATTTTATGGTTTAACTTTTAAAAATAAGTAGGTACTAATGCATTTTAATTTCCGGTAAAATTTATCATCAATACATAATTTATTAAATAGACGGTAGGTTACCTATATATTGTTTTGTATATAGTAGGTAGGTACCTACTGATTTTTTTCTTTTCTTGATGCACGAGAATCAACTCTGATATGTGCAGGTAGAGACTAGGTTTATATAAAAATAAATACTAAATAGTTAAATGTTAGGTAAATATTTGGTAAATAATTATTTCACCAAGGAAGTAATTTCCTTAAGACACATGTCATGTATTAAGAATTTAAATTCTAAGTTAGGTTAGGTACCTAACTGTATTTGATTTTATAAAGTATTTTATTTAGGTAATATACTTATTTCCCTAAGCTATTTATGTAAAAGGTATTAATAGGTATTGGTATATTCTAAATTATGATACTTGATGCTTAAATAAATTGTATGTTGTAATTATATTTTTATTAGTACCTATTAGTTTATTTTATAAGAATATCTGAACAATCTGTGCTATTAGCATTAAACGAATTGGATAAATATTTCACCAAACAAAAATTATTTTAGGTAGGTACCTAGGTGATATATGTTATTTATTTAAACTCAATTTAATATATATATTTTTAGCTTTCTCTGGGGCTTTCCCTTTCATAAAAGAGTATTTTGGATTCACCAAATGATAATGCACATTTTAATGAGAACTTTAGCCCATTGCTGGTGTCAAAATCAATTGTTAACTGTTTACAATGTAATTTTTTATGGTGTTACAACAGTTTTAGATCCTCCAATATTTTTATTTTTACTGATTAATAAAAAACTCAAACTTATGTACTTGCGGGCTCATGTGTTTAACGTCCTAGTTCCGATATATTTTTTTCTATTACTGTCTGTTTTTTTGTTTATGCCAGTATTGCGACAGCTATATAACAATTATTGATATATAAAAATCTCAATAGTCTTAAGATTTCAAATAATTCTAACACCATCTTATAGATATACTAAAAAATATCTTATTATTTACAAAAAAAAATTACAATAGACACCTATATTTATATTATTTTATTTTATTTAATTTCTAAATTCTGTATAGATAAATATTTAATACATTCTAAATATTTATACCATATCCAATTGATTGTATTGGTAGGTACCAATTGTTAATAAATTTACACTTTTTGACATTTATTTTTAATCATAAACGGTAAATGGTATCCACTTGTTGAGGCAGTTTCAGTTAAAATTTAACTCTGCTCCCAGGTACTGCAGGTAATACTTATATTAGGTTATGTAATGTGATAACTAAAATGTTAAAACTAAATGCCAGGTCCAAAAACACAGGACAAAAAAATAAAACCAAACATAAACTCAATTTTTCCCAACGACCAACACACATGAACACAAACAGAACAATCTAAATTTATTTTGTCATGGTTCAACCACAGATTATGTGAAAATATTAATACTATTTTCATATAATTCGCGGTTTAATGGTTGATTTTAGATTTTGATGGAATCTTGAGCCTTGGCCAAAATTTTTTATAAAATTATAAACTCAAATAAGTAAAACATACAGCGCTTGTGAGTAAAATTGGAACTAAATCTGGCCCACTAAGAGGACAACTGATAAGGACCCGTCTTCAAACCTTATATTCTAAGGTCGTGGTCTATACTATAATATTATTTAAATTACCTAATCGGTGTCTAGTAATTTTTTTACAATTGTTCTTTTATTTGTATTGTTTTTTTAAATTTATCATAAGCAAGATCATACAAAATTATGTTTTTTTTTTTTTTATTTAAATGCATATCAACTTAAATTTCAATGATTACTGAACTATAGAAATAATTCCTAGAAGAATATATTCTATGAACATTTTTTTTATTTAGTTTGGGACATAATAATATTTAATATTTATATTATTTCAGATGTCAATGGATGATCAATTAATTGATAATATTTGGCTGTTATTGAAAAATGCTATTCAAGAAATTCAAAAGAAAAACAATTCTGGTCTTAGTTTTGAAGAACTGTACAGAAATGCCTATACCATGGTATTGTTGAAACATGGTGAGAAATTGTATACTGGCATGAAGGAAGCTGTAATAAACCATTTAGAAAATAAGGTAAAATTATTCAAAAATAACATATCACATAATAAGGTATTATACCTAATCAAAATTATAATACAATTATTATTTTTAGGTCAGAGAAGATGTTCTAAAGGCATTAAATAACAATTTTTTACAAGTTTTAAATGTTGCTTGGATTGACCATCAAACTTCTATGGTGATGATACGTGACATATTGATGTACATGGACCGAGTGTATGTTAAGCATAATGAAGTTGACAATGTTTATAATTTGGGTCTCGTTTTGTTTCGTGATTTAGTAAGTTATACAAATTTAAATTAATATTAATATTATTATCTAACTAAGATTAAAAAAAAAAATACTAAACATTATTTATAATTTGAATACTTTTCTACACGTCTACACTACATTTATGTTAAGAAGGTACCTCAGCAATGAATAGTTTTAATCTGACTATCAACATTGTGACCTGATCTTTCCTGACCCTTCCTTTTGTCTTCCCTACTGCGTCAACTATCTGCAACTGCAGGCTGTGACAACAAGGTGACAGCCAAGGTTCCTTCTTAACATGAATAGAGTTTAGTACCTAAATGTTTTTGTTATTTCTCTTACTATAATATAATATATTAAATAAGTGATTACATACGTTTAAAGATTTATGAACATATTTTTAAATGTAAAATATATATTTTTATATATTTAACAATATTATTTGTTCTATAAGATTGTTCGCTATGGGTATATTCGTGATCATCTTCGAATGACTTTGTTGAATTTGATAAAACTTGAAAGAAAAGGTGAAGTAGTTGATCGAATAGCCATAAAAAATGCATGTCAAATGTTAATGATTCTTGGAATTACTGGGCGCATTGTTTATGAAGAAGATTTTGAAAAACCATTTTTGGAACAATCTGCTGAATTTTATAAGGTATCTATGCACTTAAATATTTATAGATTTATAATAACACTGAAACCTTAAAATACTTTAATATTGTATATTTACAGATGGAAAGTCAAAAGTTTTTAGATGAAAACAGTGCATGTATTTATATTAGAAAAGTTGAATCTAGAATTATAGAAGAATCAGATCGAGCAAAACATTACCTAGATGATTCAACTGAAAGTCGAATTGTTGAGGTTATTGAAGTAGAACTAATTCAAAGAAACATGAAAACAATTGTTGAGGTAAATATCCCAGTTCAATTATTTTAAACTGAAATTTAATTAATTTATGTGCTTATCTCTTATATTATTTTAATAATTGTATGTTTTTCTTTAAGATGGAAAATTCTGGTGTTGTATACATGTTGAAGAACAACAAAATTGATGATTTAGCATGCATGTACAAGTTATTATCTCGCGTTTCTGAAGGTTTAAAAACCATGTCTGATAGTGTTAGTCTGTATTTACGGGAATTAGGAAAATCACTTGTACAAGGAGAAGATATTAATATTAATGCAGTCAACTATATTCAGGTTATTAAAAATTTTAATGCATTAATATAATATCTCAAATTATGATAGAAAAAAGTCTTGTCTTATATAATATGAAGTGTAGTGGAACCAGAAAAATTTGTCATAATAAAAGAAACTAGCTTTGAAAACATAGAAACTAACATTTTGGATACATCAACATTTATTTTATTTGAAAGTTATAAGTTTATATATCATATGAATATTAAGTAAATATTAATAATAATTTCAATGTCAACATTGTTTTTAATTAAAATAACTACTTTTTTTTCAATAATAAATGAAGTTAATTCATTTAATGTTAACAAATTGACTTGACTATCCTAAAATTTGATAAAAAAAAAAAAAAAGGAAGAGTTGCATCAACTGCATTATCTTATATTATCTATATATTATATCTTATATTATCTATATATTATCTACATTATAAAATTTAATTAATTCTTATAACCATATAAATAATAACTAATAAACTATAAATAACTTTAACATTAAAATAGTAGGAAAATATTGGTGACTGTCATACTTTAGTCACTTTATCAGTGCTGGCATGATAGTCAATGTTGTTATATTCAATTTCCACTCTATATAATTATTTATATTAATATTTCTGCAAATTTTTTTTTTTTTTCAGAGTTTGTTGGATCTGAAAGATAGATTTGATTTTTTTTTGGTTCATTCTTTTAGCAATGATAAGATGTTTAAACAAATGATTGCTGCTGATTTTGAATATTTTTTCAACATCAATTCTAAGTCACCAGAATATCTATCTTTATTTGTTGATGAGAAATTGAAAAAGGGAGTGCGTGGGGTAATAATAATATTTGTTTACTAGTTAACAGTTATTTATTTTTTTAGAAATAAATCAAATGTATTACAATGATTATTAGCTAACAATACTTTTTAAACAAATCTAAAAGTTCTGCTTTGGCTAGTTTTTATGATTCTTTTATCAAAGAACATACATTATTTTAAAACACATTAACGTTTTTAAAAATATTATTTTAAGATAATTTTAAGTTGTAACAAAAATTTTGAAAAATACATACATTTTTCTATTCCCTTTCATTATAGTTTTTAATTTTTCTTTTACATTTTATAATGACAATATACATTTTTAATATCTCAATGTACAACTGAATATATTTTCTCCGAAATATGACATTATAATGTATGTTGCTATTTGTAAAACTGAAAAACCAACAAAACAATAATGATTACAATTGTAAATTTTTTCAAAAACGTTTCATGACTTAAAACAATTGTAAAAATTAATTTTCAAAAAGACATAAATATTATAATTTTTAAATTTGTTTACCTTGATTTGAGGGGATTCATGTGTAATAAACGAGACTTCTTAAAAAAAAAAATGATGATATTTTTGTTTTTAAAAATTGGAAAGTATCACAATGTATTGTTCTAATAAATAAATTTGTTGTTACCTATTATCAATGTGTATGACCAATATGAATTAATTTATTAATATTAGTTTACCATATATCACAATAATGAATACTTTTATTTTATCATTAAAATTAAATTAAAACTTGACCATGAATTTTTTATTAAAAATAACTGTATAATATATTTGGATTTAATAAAACGACATCCATGAATCTTTGAAGTCATTCGCACAAGTTATTAATTATATTTATTGATAACTATTTTATTTTATATGGGTATTTCATAAATTGATGAGGATGACATAATATTCTTTAGAAATTGTTATAACATTCAAATATTATTACAGTTAACTGAAAATGATGTAGAGCTAGTCTTGGACAAAGCCATGGTTATTTTCCGCTTTCTTCAAGAAAAAGATGTATTTGAAAGGTATTATAAACAGCATTTAGCCAAGAGATTACTTTTAAATAAATCTGTCAGCAATGACAATGAAAAAAATATGATCTCAAAACTCAAGGTAATTTTTAATTTATTGGATGAAAACTTTTAAATTAAATGATTATATAATTTCTATATAGACTGAGTGTGGTTGTCAATTCACTTCAAAACTGGAAGGTATGTTTAAAGATATGTCCATATCTAACACTATCATGGAAGAATTTAAGGAATACGCTGCTAAGTCTAATAATGTAAGTAGTATAAATATAATATCATATGTTGCACAAGCTAAAGGACATATTTTAAATAATCCTTATTTATCCTTTGTTTTACCACCCAATTTTTAACCCTCCATCCGGTAGAATAATGAAAAATGTTTAAATTATGTATCGAAATAAATTTGTACATAGTTTTAAACTGCATAAATGATTAACAGTGTAACATTTCGATACTCATAACTTCAAATATATATTTTTTTTTTTATGAAATATAATATGTATCTACAATCAATAATAAATACAAAGTAAATTAATTAATAAATATGTGATTACCTATTTAAATAATGTAAATGTAATACAACTTTCAATCTTCTTTTATTCAAATTATTTATTTTTCCCTCCAAAATTCAAATTTGCTAAATCGAAGACCTCCATAAATTAAAATTTCATTTTGGTTCCCTGAATTTCAAATTATTGAGTTTCTGTGTATAATATTTAGATATTATACATTAATATATTTCTAATTATATTAGTTTATACCCATTTCTCAATTTATCTATATTATTTATATGATATACCTTATCTAGGAATCACAATTATTTCTAATTAATTGAATGTCAATTTCTATCAATAAATATTGTTTCTTAAATAAACTTATATTTACTTATAAAAAAGTCAAAAAATGTTTAATTTTTATCTTTTACTACTTACCATCCTTATTTCTCAAATTCATTTTTTGTATACAACTAACCAACATTTTCTTAAAAAATCTTATTTTAGCCGTTTTTACATGCTGTGGATCTTACTGTGAGAGTATTAACCACGGGGTTTTGGCCTACCCATGCATTATCAAAATGCAATGTGCCGTTAGTTCCTAGAAGTGCTTTTGCAGAATATCGAAAGTGAGTGTACTATAATAATGATGATATATTTTATAATATGAATACCTATACTCTGGCCGAAGAGAGACGCTTGCACATCTAAATAATGTGAATGTCGAGAATTATTTTATTAACTTTATCATAAATGTATATATTTATATCTGAATATAAGTTCTATATCATGGTTTAGCCTTCATTCAATAAATCTTAACTGTTACAATATCATACCATGTGCACATTATATATTATAAAGATTGTCATATTTATCATGTTTAATGATAAATTGTAAATATTTATAGCATAATATAACTATTTAATAATTCTAAACTAAAATAATTCATATTTGGTTATTGACTAACTTTTTTATTTTTATTTTCTTCTTACATAAATATACAGTAAAACCTCAATAACTCGAATCGGTTGGGGCAAAAAAAAAATTGTGTGTACTTATTGAAATGCAGGGGCGAAGATAACTCTTCAAGTTATCAAAAATTGGAGTTATCAAGGTTTCACTGTATTTTCTAAACTTCAATTATTCCCGTTTCAAATAGATAAAACAATTTTATTTTATGTCTTTTCTGATACACATTGAATTAATTTGATTAGATTGATTTACTAACGTGAACAATTGTTTAATGCTTAACACATTCAATATTCATTCTTTAATTATTCCCTTATAAAGTTTACTTGTCAAAACTCATTTGTTAACTTGATATACTGTACTGTATACATTATCTAGCTTAGGATATAAAACTTATCAAACATAATAGACAACTTACATTGTTGATAAAAAAAACTTCTATAATACTAATCTACTAGATAATATATTATCTCAGTTAATAAAGTTTGATAAAACATTTTAAATATGTATGAAAAAATACTACCTTAATTTTTTTTTTTTTAAATTTCTTTAACACATTCGTTGCGTTTGTCGGCCATATCCGACGGACCGACTTTTTCACGGTGCGCCTGTCGGATATAGCGGACATCAGGTCCGTTGAATTAAATGTGCTATAAAATAGAGACGCACTAGAGTAATATTTTATTTTTACACACGCCTCTGCACAGAAATTTCTTGTTATTTCAGTCCAATCCATTTATAAATAACTTATTTTGTTGATTTTTCCGACCCTAATCAAAATGTCCGAATTGGTAGCACGCTCCTAGCGAACATCGATATATTTTGTGACGCATCTAACGTGTCCCAACTAATTATTTGACGCAGTGAATGTGTTAAATAACAATTTACAATCCATACAAGTGAGTACAATAAGTGAATGAGTGGAATATGAGCCGGTAAAAATAGAAAACATTGAGTGGGATTTTCACATTAGAAATGCCTTAACTTTTTATTTTTAGTAATTTAAAAAAAAATATTTCATGACAGTTTTTATCTGGGGAAACATAACGGACGACAACTAACATTGCAACCACAACTTGGGTCAGCTGATTTGAATGCTGTATTCTACGGTTCAAGACGACCAGACAATGAATTATTGACAAGTGAATCTATTTCAGCTAATTCCCTTAGCTCATCTACCGTGCGAAAACACATAATTCAAGTGTCGACTTATCAGATGTGTATTCTTTTAATGTTCAATACTCATGAAAAATTAACTTTTGAAGTAAACTATTAAACTTTATATTCATTCAAACTTTATTTTACATATAAGAATTATTGTGTATGTTAACGTGTCAAAATTAAAATTTTAGGACATACGAAGTGAAACTGATATTCCTGACAAAGATTTGATTAGAGCATTACAATCTTTAGCATTAGGAAAACCCTCACAGCGTATACTATTGAAGACTCCTAAATGTAAAGAAATAGAATTAACTCATGAATTCTGTGTTAATGAGTTATTTACATCGAAATTACATAGGTAAACGATATATTTTTATTTGAATTCATGTTACTAAATATCTGTTCATTTTAGAGTGAAAATCCAAACAGTCGCAGCTAAAGGGGAAACCGAACCAGAAAGAAAAGAAACTAGAAACAAGATAGATGAGGACCGTAAGCATGAAATTGAAGCTGCAATTGTACGCGTTATGAAATCTCGGAAAAAATTGATTGTAATTTTGGAATACAATTTTTAACATTGTTTGACGTAAAATATTTACTTTAACAATTATATTCATTTTTTTAGCATAATACCCTTGTGTTGGAAGTCGTAGAACAACTCAAAGTCAGATTCTTACCTTCTCCGGTCATTATCAAAAAAAGAATTGAAGGACTGATTGAAAGAGAATACCTTGCAAGATCAACAGAAGATAGGAAAACTTATCTTTATGTTGCATAAAATGTGTATTTAAAATTGTATATTAAGTCTTCCTATGTAAAAATTGACAACTGAATATTATACAGGTGTTCACGTTAAGATATACCACTTATTATTTCAGCAGGATGACCTTTAATTGAAATGTGATTTTAGTATGTGAAACTGTGTACTTGAAATGCACATTGTGAGAAAATTTCATATTATGTTTCTTACAGACTTGGATAAAAAATGTTTGTATAAAGTTTTTTTCATATTACAAAATTAACTAATTTAGAGTAAATTGAATAATTTATTTATCTGTTGGTAACACATCTTTGTTTTACTCCAATTTTATTTTAATCATTCATACAACAATATAAAAAATAATTTATGATAACATAATTTAACTACAATTTTTTAATTTAAAATTCGGTTATATAGATAATTGTAATTAACCCTACACTGCCATAATTATTTTATCTGAAAATAACAATATTTTTTTTAAATACAAAAAATGATGCAGTGTAGGGTTAATTTACAAATTTGTGTACAAATAGTAATATTTAACACCATAATTTTGTAAAAAAAAAAACTGGAATTATTCATAAAGTTCAACTCCAATATTGTCAATTTGGTAATTTACACATTTTGTGTACAGAAATTAGTCTGTCCAAATGTGTCGGAATAAATTGGTGTTGCTAACGAAAAAAGTCAGGTTAGTAGGAATATATATTTAATGCTCCCGAAATCCCCGTTTCAATCTAATATTATCCACCTGAAATAGTGGTACCTCTTAGCATGACTACACATGCACATATTAAATTAGGGACCCATTGTTCCTATTAAAAAAAAAAAAAAAGAATCATAGGAGTAAATGAACAAATACTTAATAAATTCCTTAATGTTTTTCATAGAAATGGAATGTACATTGAGCAAAAATGTGTAACAAATTTACAGGTGCTACACGGTATCTGAACTTGATCCAGTGATAATTTCCAGTCACTATTTACAAAAACCAAAAAAAATATTAATCATAAGTTTAATGTGATAATGATCGTTTTCATCTATGGTCTTCTTGTATTGTAAGCATAAAATGTGTTTATTCCATTTTAAATATATGTATTATCAAATGAACTCGAATTGTTGTTTATTTCAGGACAATCTTTATTGCACATAAATAATATAAATAATAAAATTATAAAATGCTCTTTTGTTTCATACTGAAATATAACCAATATTACTTTGCTAGATACTGATTATTATTGATACAAATACAATTTATATAATATAATATATGAATTATTGTTTTATAATTTTTTTTTTCTTTTGTGTACTTCTAAATGAATAATTGTATGAAAAATTAACTTTTAAGTTAACATGTATTTAATTTTGGTATTTATATTCAAAGAATTTTCTACATTCCATTTTTGGAGGATTTCAGTATAGTGAAACATACACACTTTATGTGTTTTACTAAATCATGAAATTTTTGTTTCCCATTAATAGTAATTGTATCCTTTAGTTTAATTAATATATAATGTCCTAGAAAATTTTTTTTTTGATTTTTATTAACTAATTAATATTAGTCTAAAGCTGGATTGCATACAAAATCGCTAAATAGGTTTTTTTTTGCATATGGCGCTATATCCGGGAGTAGGCTTAAAGGCCTAGCTTAGACACCTATTTGGCCGAATTTCTAATTGGGCACCCAAGGGTTTCTGCCATGCCCACTTGGGGGATGGCGATCTCGCCATCTAAACAGTTGCTTTCCCATAGAGCAATGCCATCGTTAAACTGTATGGTATTTAACATAGTTTAATGGTCCATGATTGGTTATTACATTTTAATAAATACATTTTTTATGCAATCCGGTATAAATATTTAAATTATTTTTCAAAATAAATAACACCGCAATATCTTCAGTAACCTTCTGGTCAATGCTTACAATATTGTAACTTAATAATTTTTTTAAATTTTTAGTGTTATTTTTGTTTCGTGGTAGTATTTTATATAAAATACATACATACCTACAAGTATTGTTTTAATAATATTAAGTAATCTTAAGATGTAATTGTTTTTTTTTTTTTTTTTTGTTACCTATCTAAACGCGTTTGTACAAATTTAAAACTTAGCTAAGTCTCAAGCATTGTATAATTTTTTTCTCATTCTGTTTTATCATCAAAGAAAATGTTATTTAATACCTTAACATATTTCTGGATGTGTTAGTTGTAATAACATTAAACACCAAATGTTAAACTGTAACATTTTAACAATATTAATTATAAACTTCAGTTAGGTAGTATTAAATATTTAAAAATTGGTTGATGGTATAAATATTAAAGAAGTTCTGGAAATAAAACTACATCAAAAAGATAAAGAAAATTATGCCAAAATACCTCGTAATGATGTAAATTGTTATGAATTTAATTGCTTACGGCTTGAGTCCTGATATATTATTACTCCATTAAATATGTATTAAAATATAAAATCATATGTACTAACCTATATCAGTAGAGTTCCCAATTCCACTTCTACTTAGAATCTTGTATCTGTACATTTCTCTGCTAGAGTTGAATGTATTGAAATATTATACCTGTATTGGTATTATAGAATCTTGATCCAGGTATACTCTAATATCAGTTAATTGTTATAGACATACTAAGATATTGCAGATGGATGATTTTCATATTTTATTTTGTACTTATTGACTATTCGTGAAATTTTTTAATTAAAAATGTATTATAATTTTTTTTTTTTTAATAAATCTGAATTTCTCTCGAAAACCGAGAGCATCAATGCATAAAACAATTCTTTATAGTTTATTTTATCAAGGTAATTAACTAAACTATATACCAAATTTAAATTTAAGTCTTACATACTGACTTGTATGATAAGTTAATTTTTCAAAATTATACTTATAACTTTAAAAACAAGTTTTTTTACTGAGAAAATTGAATATAAATATATTTTTTATATAACTAATAACAATATTCAAAATTACAACCTTAGTTTAGGGGTTAGTGGGTAATACCGATCACCTTGTTATCCAATAAACCAGTGCATCTAAAATTGTGTTAACCATACAAAAAGGTTAAGAATGATAATAATTTTCAAATGTGTACAATAAGTTTTTAGAGGCAATTAATGTAAGAAAAAATTGTTTTCTATCTTAATTAAGGTAAAAATATTTATAATATGTTTCTACTTTATAGAATTACATATTAAACAAAATATGGAGATGATTATACATTTAATTAAAATTAGCTTATGTTTTAAATTAACTTTATTTGTTATTATACTGTATTCCATGCAAACAGTATTAGATCAGTATATAATAATATATTTGTATATTATAATTTATCATATTGTTTTTTTACTATAGAAATTTAACTTACGTCTGATTGTTTCTGCTCAAGTGCTCTGTTCTGTCATGAACCTTTTAAATTGTACTTGTTTCAAAGTACTTTAGCAAATAAATTGGTAATATATATGGTTCTATGGTTAGGATATGTTTGTTATGTTAAATATTGATTATGGAAACGTCTAACTGTTGCTGGGCGCTGACCAAAGGTTTAAACCTCATGTCCTTATATTGTATGGTGCCTGCTAGTTATTAGTTAAACCTAGGCCTCTAGCTAGGAAGGTATCTACTTATATTATTTACCTATTACCCACATATTAACATTTGATTATTTCTCATAAATTAACACTAGTACCTACCTAGACTTAGACTATTAGTACTACATTATTGTCTACTACTTTAGATTCTGTAACTAAATTAACACTATTTGGAGAACAAAAATTCAAAGAATGATACTCATTGCAAACGTTTAAAAAATATTGGATTTATTATCGTCATATAATATTTGAACTAGATAGGTGCATATTTTTAAACGAGATGCATTGAAATGTACACCAGGGACTGGAACCTTGATGATTTTTACGGTTCCGGTTTCTGTTCGGTTCCCAGAAAAACTAAAAATAAGGTTTCGGTTTCTTTTTGGTTCTTAAAAAGTAAAAAATGTGTTACCTGTTTTAGTTTTATACTTATGTAAAAAAATGTGTAAAGTAAAATTATCGGTTCCAGTAAAGTTCAGGTTTTTTAATTAATTTAAATAAGGATTTCGGTGAGGTTTCGGTTCCTAATATTCAAAGGGTTCCTGTTCTTTTCGATGAGGTTCCAGTCCCTGATTTACATAGTAATCAATCGAACCATTTTAAAACGACATATTTTCCTCAAATAGGAAGGTATCTAGGTACGTTCAATATAATTATAATTTTTAAAAAATGAGACCAGTTAAAATTACACTGTTTGTAATTGACGCAGGTTTTAGTTAACACTGCCATTAATCATAAAATTTAAAATTATATTTATTGGAGAACACGTTAAGGGGTATGCATACCGACCGACTCAGTCGTAGCCTCCCCTAAATTTTTAATTACAAAATAATAATTCAATTTTAAATTTGATAAATTTTGACAAAATTCGATGTTTAAATGCTTATAAAAAAAATTGTGGCCATGTATTTTTAATATTTTTCAACTGCTATTGTAAGAATATATATCAGGAGCCCTGTATTAAATTTTTACACTTTTTGGCCCAACAGATAAAACTTAATTGATATTCATAGAAAAAAAAATAAAAAAATTGAAATATTGAATTGTCCATGAACAGCTCAAGACAAGTCAAAATATTTTGAAAATTGTATGGTATATAGGAAATGCTAATACAGTAAGTTCCCGTTACAACGAATACCGATACAACGAAAAATCCCGTTATAACGAAAGTCCTAGAAGTCCCCTACAGAAAAGCTATTAAGCTTTTCTAATGACCTTACAACGAAATTTCCGTTATAATGAAAAAAAAATGTGGTCCCTTGGAGTTCGTTGTAACGAGAACTTACTGTATAAACATTCAGTGAAATTTTGAATTACAACAATATAAAGAAGTCGCTACTTGAGAAATCGAGTGAATAACAAATTTTGTAAAAATATGAATTTAAAATACTCATAAAAATTTAATTTCACTTTCCGGAAGACAT